TGTGTGTGTGTGTGTGTGTGTGTGTGTGTGTGTGTGTGTGTGTGACGCACCTCTGTGAACCAGTACTAGTGTGCAATGCGACTCCTTTCTCTCTCTAAATCTAGTAAGATCAAATGCACTGGTACGATATTATTCTACCATTCATTTTTGTTTTGGTTCTTTTTTTTTGGCGGGGGATTTTTGTTTTGGTTCAACCGAGATGACTTCATGAGGTGAATTTTCTCTGAGCAGTGACGTTTAGCTTTCTTGCACCCACTTCTGCTTATAGTTGTGCAGGAATTATCTTTATGTTTTCGGGCACATAGTGAGCTTGAACTTAGTGCCTTTTTTCCTTATATGTTAAACTGAGCATGATGCAGATTTTATGATCGAGTGGTATACATGTGTTTTTTTACTTGCCGACTTTTTTGTTCTGGGGATTTTTAACTTACCACTTGATTTGTACCTTGCTGCGTGTAAGTTTTTTTTATGCTCAACCAAGTTTTTCTATACCTTTGCTGCCTCTAAGATTTTTTTTTCCTGATGAACAGGGCTGTACGTAGGCGGGTTCAAAAACTTGCACCAAGTTAGTACTTAGGACACGGTGGTGTGCTACTGTACTGCTAGTGCATGCCGGCCGGCTCTTCGCAAACAGGTCGCCAGAACGTAATTATTTTCATTCGTTGTACTCCCTCCGTCTCATAACGAAGGCGTTTATTTACTCTGGTGTAGTATGAAAAAAAGTCCTACATTATGAAATGAAGAAAGTATATTTTATTGTCAAAAAAAAAACATCAACCCAACCGACTTGAAGAAAATAAAATGGACAACCTTTCCTACATGCATCCTCCTCCTCTTTATATTTGCATGTATAATCTTTTTAGCACGTGTATCTTAAACTTATGTGCTTTTATTTGCGAAAAAAAGGTGCTTGTAGGCTATCCTTTTGATCATCCGCTGTGGGGGCGGGGCCGTTGTTGTAAAAAAAAAAACCTCCCCGCTGTAGTAATTTCCTTAACTAAATTTTTTGTCTAGCCATTTATGCCCACTAGGACAGAAATTAACATATGCAAATAATTAGGGATGCTGCTACTATACTTTGCAATGAAAAGTTCTAGCTGTGATTTGTTTTGCCAATAGTCAGAGAATCTCTGTAGTTTCTTCTACTGCTAGCTGTTTCTATGGGTACCGCTAGCTTTACTTCGCACCCTCCGTCCGGAAATACTTATCACTGAAATGGATGTATCTAAATGTATTTTAGTTTATTTCTAGATATATTCATTTTCATCCATTTTGATGACAAGTAATTCCGGACTAAGGGAGTACTACTTTTTAACTTGCCGATTTTATGTGTGGCTTGTGTATTGCAGTTAGACCAGAAAATTATTATCTTTCAGCATGAATGTTCAGCTACTAACGGTAGCTAAGTACGCCCTTTAGGATGATCCTCTTAATTAGTTACAAATGTATGCTTAGAGTATGTTACTCCTTCATAAGAGATATCTCTGCTGTAACTAAATTTTGCGGGAGCGTATTTCGGAGCACATTTGCAGAGCTAGTCTATATATCTAAAGTGAAATGGTTAAGTTTAATAAGAAGGTGCATTCAGAATTTCTCCAAAGAAATGTATTCGGAAATTCTCAAATAAAAGTGTATTTGGAATGTCTATCAAAATATTCCCAAATTGTGTATTTATTTACCTGCAAATAGTGCTGAGACTAACATTCACCATGATGTTCCTTTTATCCGATTGAATTCTCATGGCTGTAAATGCAAGCGATGGATTGTCGAATTGTTCTGTAGAATTGTCCTCGTAACCAGAAAATGTTTACATTGTTTGATAGGTCCTGTAGAATTGTTCTGTTAGACATGCATGCATGGATGTTGCTCTCCTTCATTATCTTGAAATTAATTCCCATTTACCACAATAATTTTTCTTGTGATGCAAGTTAATCCAACATTCAGGAAGACATTGGTATTTTTTATAAGAGTATACTACTTAATTATTTTGATTTTATGGTATATGGTTCCATCTTACGGTTTCCTTTATATGTATATCGTACAAACTTTATGGTCGGGAAACCTAATCACTACAAAAATTCCTTCAACATGTCCACAGGGGCTCCATAATCCATATACAATCGAGTTTTTAGTTTAACCTAAGTGACTTCAAGAAAATAAATGTGCGAATTTTCTACGTCCAGTAAAATTTACAAGCTTTCTTAGGTCCTCTTTCAGTTTGACAAAATAGGGTTGCACCCTGCCACTTTATATTTACCTGCCACTCCATGTGTACTAATTACTGACCATTATACTTATTTTTTGAGTAGGCAACCAGCATGTTAATCTTCAGAACTGATAATTAACCATCTAGGTTCTTTCAAAAATAAAACTTTAACCACCTAGCTCGATGTAAGCAATGCTTTTGGTGATGATCGGGTACAAATTATGCAAAACAGAACAGAAACGAACAAGTGCATGCAAATCATTAGGAAATGCTGCTAATATTCTATGAAACAAAAAGTTGGTGAGCTGCAATCAGTTTTCAGGCGATCTCTGAATTTTGTTCTACTGCTATCATTTTTGTGTGCAGGATATATCACAAGGAAGAGCATCCACGAACAATTCCATGGCAACCGGCATTCTGGAGGTATACACAATTATTACTATACAGCACATTGATGAGTTTTATCACCCAAAGATGTGGTTGCTTCTAGATTCTGTCTAAATTGTGCAAGTCAATTTTAATATAGGTTATACGAGAGAATTGCAAAACATGTGTCGAAGCCATCAGAAGTCACATGGCGAAAGAAACCGACGTGAAGTTTACTGTTACTGTGGAAGGCAAGGAGGTAACAGTTCCTGTGACTCCAAAGAAAAATTATACACCATCTGGTATGTATGTAATAGAAGTTATAGATGGCAAGAAGAGTCTGCAACTGGTCGGCACAAAATTTCAAGCATGGTTTAGGGGCATTGTGAACAATAGTGGGGATCGTTTTGAGGTTGATGACAAAGAGTCGAAGATAATGAGGAAGTCTGATGCCCTCCACACTACTGGCATGTACCCTAAGCTGCTGTCATGTCAGCTTGCAAATTTCAAGGTGGGATATCATCGGTTGAAGTCTGCCTTCCACACCCTGGCAACCTATGGAGAAAGACCGCTGAGCAAGGACCTCGTCAAAGAGAATGACTCCATTGGGTTATTCATGTGATGTTGTTTGAAGGTCCCAGGTTCATTCCCATCTACGAGATCAACTATGATGCTCTGCTTCACCTGGATAAGGAGAATACTGTTGGGCCAGACAACAGTAAACTGCTAATTAGGAACTGGGGTGATTTGAGCAAGGGTTTTTATCGACACGTGAAAGGAAAAATGAGTTTTACCCTAGACGGAAATACACCAGAATGGAATGGAATGGCTGTCAGGAAAGCTGCTACCACCTTAAGAATCATGTCCAGAACGGAATGGGAGAAGTGGGTAGAGGAGTACGCGAGTGGCCAGAGCAGCAGCAGTAGCAACAGCAGCAGCAGGTGTTAGGCTCCTTCATTAAGAGTGAAAAGTAATGTCTACTATTCGTCATTCCCTGGCTCTATATACTATAGTACATACTGTAGTATTGTACTCCACATTTGCATTATATTTGTAGATATATACATATATAGTACTCCATATTCGCATTGGTATATGTATTTGTATTCCATCAGCAAACCACCCATACTTGGTCAGATATATATTGTACTCCGCTTTCTTCTGGCCCTGGTACATGTATATTCATGTGAGATCTCATCTAACAAGCATAGTGCCAGTTTCTAAACAAAAATAAGACATCCATACTTCTGCCTAGTCATGGTTACTTATAGTTGTCAACTCCACAGGAAATGGGAGATCTGATGTGTTGAACTTATAAAATTACGTTTAAGAAATGTAGTAGACCTTAGTTTCTCTCACTTATCAGTTTTAAAGAATATATCACATTTAACAGAGTATAAGACACTATACTAGTAGCAAATAGTTTTGCAACGCAGCAACAAATCCCTTTTGTGCTTACACTAGAATAGAAGTTCTTTTCTTACCGGAACATAGAAGCTCCGTTCTAAGCATATCGGATGCGCCATTCTTCATCGACCATACTCCAAGTCACTTTCACTGAAATCGTAGTGAATTTATCAAACTTCACCTTTTCAACCACTGTTCCACGATAGCATGCACCAAATCTGCCTGTCCAGGTATAACAGGGCAGCTTCTGATCAAGACCACAGCCGTCTTGAGGCGACCTCTGACAAAGACCCTCTTTGGAAGACCCTTCAACGCAAACATCAAGGTAGCTATCTATCAAAACCCCCACAACAGAACTGAATCTACCACCGGCTTTTGAACGTCCACGAAATAGGCGGATAATATCCCCGAAGCCACTCGTCTTGGCATACAGATTCAGAATAAGGCCACATGCAGGAGCGTAAACTATCTCAACATCAATCTTTGCTTGAACTGCGCTGTTCAGTACGGCAAACTTCAGGTCCAATCCACACTTCTCTCCATAAAGACGCTGGGTTTCAACAAATGATGGTCTGAACATATTGCTCAACTTAGTACATCCTTCAATTAGAAGCTCCTCTTTTGGCCCCTCGTCAGGTTGGTCTTCAATCCGTATGCAAAGTTTGAATTCGAACAACACATGGTCTGTCATATTGATGCCTCGAGCAGGGCTTCCCAGTGATAAACGTGCAGTACCCTGCCAATTAGGATCAACGGTTAGCTAAATTACATGTGTATGGAAATGAAAGAAAAATGATCTCTATAAAACCGATGATGAGATTTTCATTTTACCATTAGACTGCAGATTATTAATTTTGTCACCAAGAACATCCGAGACAATTAAACTGAGATGCCCCCTATTCAACCTATGGCCTCACCAAGGGTGCAAGGGGGTGTACCAACCTTGACGGTGATGGCATTCTGAATGGTCTAAGGATAACTCGCCAAAAACATTCTAAATGGGATCACCCTTTTCTATTCTCTCTTTATATTATTTTTCGCAAAATGTGCTGGCCCGCTTTGCTATTATAGAGATCCCGGTCACTAACCGTAACCCTAAAGGAACATTCACGAGCATACCCTCAATGGCATGTAGCCCCATGCCTTGACGAAGTTGGCAGGGTCCGCTTTACCAGGCCGATCTGGTCTATCTTGTGCCTTAGCAAAGTTGGTAGGGCTGGCTTCGTCTGGTTGATGCATGTGTTGTGCCCTGGCAAAGTTGGTGAGTTCGGCCTTGCCAACTTGATGTTTCCTATCTACCTTGGCAAAAGTTGCATGCTCAACTTCGTTGTGCCGATCCCCTGCCTCTATGGACTCCGTGGCCTTCCCACGCTATCCTTGGAGCATCTCTAGCCAAACCTTCAAAAGTGTTCAACTCAAAATATTACCTTTTGAGGAGTTAAGCCACACCTAGCAGAACCCTCAGCCGGTTTAACTCCTCAAATGAAAAATTAGGCAGCTTGTCAGTCTTCTCAACAAAAATACCTCTCGTGCGGCTCCTCCATATCACTCGACACTCTCCACCCCAGTGTTGTCTCCGCCGATTTCCTTTCCCCCGCTAGCCACCACACTCGCTCCTCTTGGGCCAAGTTAGATTAGCTTGCCGCTGGCGCTGCAGCCAGAACCACCCCATATCTTCACCGCTGCCTTAACAACCACTCTCGTGGACGAAAAAGGCCACCACCGAGCTCGGTTTTGTCCAAATCAGAACCGGCGGACGACCAAGATGTCGTAGAGCACCCGAGGATGAGTTAGGAGGCTCGAAATCGCGACCACACTGGTGAAATTCCAAAAACCGGAGTTCGGCCACGACATTACTTTGCACCCAATCGGAATAGAGCAAAAGGCCATGCCAAGCTTATGAAGGATTACTTTGCACCCAATTCAACCTATCCAGAGAAGCATTTTCGCTGGCGATTTCGGATGCACTAAAGTCCCTTCCTCAGCATTGCAAAAGTTGTTGAGGAGAACAATCCATGGTTTACACATACGTAAAATGCATCGGGAGAGATACGTGCATGCCCATTGATGATGTTCATCGTGGTTGTTCGAGTGCTTGACTATGGTCGGCTTTACTAGGCCGATCTGGTCTATCTTGTGCCTTAGCAAAGTTGGTAGGTCTGGCTTCGTCTGGTTGATGCATGTGTTGTGCCCTGGCGAAGTTGGTGAGTTTGGCCTTGCCAAGTTGATGTTTCCTATCTACCTTGGCAAAAGTTGCATTGATAGGAGCTGGGATCCTACCAGGTCTAGCTCGTAGGTTGTAGGGGTGGAAGGGGGCTTGGCGTGGAGGAAGACGAGGTCGCCGGCGCTGGGGTGCCGTTGCGAGAGAGGGAGAGGGCGCAGGAGGCGGCGGCTAGGGTTAGGTCTCCCGGCTCCCTTCAGGAAGCCGAGCAAATATGATTGCTCCTGCTTAACTTCAAACGAGTCCTTACATGAGTTTATATAATCTCCAAATACGATAACTGGCCTAAGCCCCTAATAACGATAAGATAACTGGGCCAGGCCCCTAACTGCCCGAGCTGTAGTATATGCCGGTCATAACATCTCTCCCCGCCTGCACAAACAGCTCGTCCTCGAGCTGGAAGGCGGGGAAGCGCTTGCGGAACTCCTCGAGGTGATCAACGGGCACCAAACACCTCCGCGTCAGCTGGGGCGGGCAGGTCGCCGAGCCCGGTGGCGGCGGCGTCCTCCTCAATGTAGTCTGCAGCCTCTAGGTAGAAGAGTCGCGCGCAGACGTGGTCGGGCACGTAGGGCTCGTCGCAGTTGAATAGGGATGTAAACCGGGTCCCATTTAATCCCGTTTAAAGTCCACTTATGATATGATAGTTCAAAAAGGTTTTTTGTTTGTTTGAGTAAAATGAACTATCAAGCTAGCAAAAACTAACTAAACGGGATTGCGGATGCCATTTATTTGCCACTTACATCCTTGCAGTTGAAGCAGAACCCTTGGCGGCGACGCTCGAGTTGCTCGGCCGGGGTGAACCGGCGGAACGGGCGCGTCGCGGTTGCGGCGAGGGGCGCCGCGGAAGCCTGAGCAGGCCGACCATGCGCGGGAACTTCCAGCCAGGGTGGCGGCTCAGCAGCCCGGGGCGGTGACGCCTGCTGGATGGCCACCGCGCGACGCTCGAACGCGCGGGCGTAGTACATGGCCATCTGGAGGTCCTGTGGCCCGCGCATCTCCATGTCCACGCGGATGTGGTCCGGTAGGCCGCCGACGAAGAGCTCAGCGCGCTGACGAGCCGAAACGCCGGGGGCATGGCACACCAGTGCCTGGAAGCGGTCGGCGAAGTCTTGCACTGTGGTGAGGAACGAAAGGCGCCCAAGCTCCACCAGACGGCTCCCGCGTATAGGCGGACCAAAGCGCAAGTGGCACAGATCGCGGAAACTCTCTATGGTGGCATGCCGCCCTCGTCCTGCTCGAGGGCGTAATACCATGTCTGGGCGGCGCCTCGTAGATGATAGGAGGTGATCCAGGTGCGGTCGGACGCGAGCGTGCGCTGCCCCCTGAAAAATTGGTCGCATTGATTGAGCCAATTCAGGGAGTCGACGGTGCCGTTGTAGGTTGCGGACTCCAGCTTGGAGAATCTCGGTGGTGGCTGGGCGTGGACGACGGGCGGTATGTGTCATCCGCGCGGAACAGCGAGGGCGACGGCGCCGAGTGTGAGGGCTGCAGAGTACCGCCATGGAAAAGGGGCCTGTCCACACCATCGTAGGGACCCGCAGCACCCGAGGACCCGCCGAACTGCATGGTCGGGGGCGGCGCCGGCGGTGACATCACGTGCGGCTGTCCTGAGGCCATCGTATAGACCAGCTCGATGGACCCGGCGAGCCAGGCCGATAGCGGAGATGGCGACGGGGAGAAACGGACCTGGTGGATGGGCACCACGGGCGCCGTCGACGGAAAGACCGACCCCGAGATCGCTGGTGGCGGCGGCGGCGGCTGCTGCTGCGGCCACGACATGATGGATGCGACGGAGGTCGCTAGTGGTGACGGCTTCCATGGGAGCTGCTACGGCCCTGTGATGGTGGTGACGGGGGCGGGCGGCTGCAGCCCATAGTGCCCCGCGAGGAAGGTGCAGATGCCATGGACCGCCTGAGTCAGGTCCCGGAGCGCCGCCGTCATCTCCTCCGGGGTGAGCACGGCGGGGGCAGGGGCGGGCGCAGGTGGCGTCCAGGCGGCAGAGGAGACCGGCCCGGTCATGGACGGCGTGCTGGTCGTGGTGGTCATCAGCGACGAGGATGCGATCGGCAGCGGGAGGGAGGGGATGGGCGGTGGCGCGGACATGATCGAGCCTGAGACACCTGGTACCAGATTGATAGGAGCTGGGATCCTACCAGGTCTAGCTCGTAGGTTGTAGGGGTGGAAGGGGGGCTTGGCGTGGAAGAAGACGAGGTTGTGTAGGGGTGGAAGGGGGCTTGGCGTGGAGGAAGACGAGGTCGCCGGCGCTGGGGCGCCGTCAAGAGAGAGAGAGAGGGCGCAGGAGGCGGCGGCTAGGGTTAGGTCTCCCGGCTCCCTTCAGGAAGCCGAGCAAATATGATTGCTTCTGCTTAACTTCAAACGAGTCCTTGCATGAGTTTATATAATCTCCAAATATGATAACTGGGCTAAGCCCCTAATAACGATAAGATAACTAGGCCAGGCCCCTAACTGCCTGAGCTGTAGTATATGCCAGCCATAACATGCATGCTCAACTTCGCTTGCCGGTCCCATGCCTTTGTGGACTCCGTGGCCTTCCCACGCTATCCTTAGAGCATCTTGGTTTTGTCCAAATCAGAACTAGCGGACGACCGAGATGCTGTAGAGCACCCGAGGATGAGTTAGGAGGCTCAAAATCACGACCACACTCATGAAATTCCAAAAACTGGAGTTCGGCCACGTCATTACTTTGCACCCAATCGGAATAGAGCAAAAAGCCATGCCAAGCTTATGAAGGGTTACTTTGCACCCAATTCAACCTATCCAGAGAAATATTTTCGCCGGTGATTTTGGATGCACCGAAGTCTCTTCCTCAGCGTTGCAATTTTTTTTGAGGAGCACGATCCATGGTTTACACATACGAGAAATGCATCAGAGAGATACGTGCAAGCCCTTTGATGAAGTGTGGCGTGGCTGTTCGAGTGCTTGACTATGGGTGTTTGCAGACGCCATTGATAACTATGTTCGCATTGGGGAAGATTCAATCCTAGAGGCCGTTCGAAGATACACACAAGTCGTCATTATCTATGGACCGGAGTACTTGAGCGCACCCAATGATGAAGACAACACACAAGTCGTCATTGATATCTATGGACCGGAGTACTTGAGGGCACCCAATGACGAAGACACAACACACAATTCGTCATTGATATCTATGGACCGGAGTACTTGAGGGCACCCAATGATGAAGACATGGAGACTCTTGGGTTGAGTGAAGAGCAGAGACTCTTGGATTGAGTGAAGAACGAGGATTGCCAAGGATGCTTGGATTAATTGATTGCATGCATTGCACATGGAAGAATGGTCCTACGGGATGGAGAGGTCGGTACGAAGGGCACTCCAAAGATCCAACCATCATTCTTGAGGCAGTTGCGTCGGAGGATCTATGGATTTGACATTCTTTTTTTGGCTTGCATGGCTCTCATAATGACATGAATGTGCTTTCTAGATCAGCATTGTACGCAAGGCTTGTTGCCAGAGATAGAGAACTGTTACAAACAAAGAAGAAACTAATAAATTTAGGTAAGAAATAAGATAAAATAAACCATATTTGATACCGGAATATTCAGTTTGGTAACCTGCTACTAATTCTTCCTCCGCTTCTGGTAAATCCAAGGATAATCTGCTCCTCCTTGCAATTATGTTATCAATGGCCGTCAATACGTGATGGGCTACTACCTTGTAGATGTCATCTATCCTCCATGGGCCACATTTGGTGAAGACAATCTAGTGTCCTAAAGGCAACAAGATATCCCACTATGCAATGCGTCAAGAGTCCAAAAGAAAGGATGTTGAGAAAGCTTTCGGTGTGCTTCAAAAGCGCTTTGCCATTATTCGTGGCTCTGCCGAGTATTGGAAGCCAGAGGTTCTATGGAAAATAATGACAAGTTGCATCATCTTGCACAACATGATCATTGAGGATGAGAGAGGCATGCCAAAGAACTTTCGGTACATCTCCAATGGGGATCCTGTCGAGCTGGAACACAATACAACTATCTGACCTCCACACCCTCATCTCCTTTGCCAAGGCCTATGAACAACGACATTTTACTCCAACATCACCACACGAGCTTTTTTGGGCCTATAAGGCCCTTGTGCCACTCCGATTCTCTTGGGCTGAATGCAGCCAAAATACCTTCCCCGCCAGCACCGCTAGCACTTTTTCTATTGTTGACCACTCCATGGCCAACCCCGCGATGGCAGGTTCAATGCCTCACCCCTGAGTTGGCAGAACGTCGTTCTCAGGGCCTTTGCTTCAACTGCGATGAGATTTATGTTCATGGTCATTGGTGCGCTCGGCTCTTCTTCATCGAGGCTAACGACTACGACCACCACAACTAGTTGCACCCAGGGTCCTTGGGAGGCAATTGACAACCAGCAACTTGCAAACAAGCTGTTTTTTAAGGAAGGGAGAAATGTCATATTGAGTTCAAGCTCCAGCCAATTTATCCGAAAGTCTGAACTGATGGAGAGAGGCAGTCAATATATTTTAACACTCCCCTCCACATCTAGGTTGCTTTATCCCTTAGCGTGGGATCGATTTAGGCCACAAATATCATTATTTTCAACACTATGTTAGCAGGGTCAAACTCGAGACCTCTTGTTCGGACTTCTGGATGAATTGGCTAAAGCATGAGTTCGATAGTTATGTGGGCCGACACATATATCAGACATGGAGTATTATCCCTTAATTAGAGTTCAAGTTGATTAAGCAACTTTGTTAGGAAAGAGTCTAGTAGTTTAGAGACTATTAGAGTTTGACTATATTTACCGGCTTGTTGGTCAAGTCTTGTCTATTATATAAAGTGGCTGACCCCTATATCAATAAGGCGGAGAAGAATATTGTCATTTACTTTTATCTAATTTTCAATAACTAGGGTATGTCTGTAGTAGATTCTCCCAAGGTAAGATTAAATTGTTATTATTCAACCTATGGAATTTGCCTTGCTCTTTCTACATATCAAAGCATAAAAGAGGTTTGAGTAGATTGTAAAATGCCTTTGTTTTTCCTTTGAAACTCAAACCAAATGTGAAAAATCCTTCATTTTCCTATGTGTCCTTCATTTGAACCAAATGGATGAATAGTGTCACCAAATGAAAATTTCCTATTCTATGCTTTCCCCTACTTTTCCTATGAATAAGGAATAACAACAACAACAAATCCTTTCAGTCACAAGCAAGTTGGGGTAGGCTAGAGTTGAAACCCATAAGATATCAAAACCAAGTCATGGTTCAGCTGGCAGGTGGACAGTTAGCTTCCCTGCACCCCTGTCCATGGCTCAATCTTTGGTGATATTCCAGTCCTTCATATCTCTTTTTACGGACTCCTCCCTTGTCAAGTTTGGTCTACCCCGACCTGTCTTAAGATTATTAACATGCCTTAACTGTATGCTACGCACTCGCATTTTTTGGAGGCCTGCGTTGTATATGCCCAAACCATCTCAGACAATGTTGTACATGATCATCATTCCGGACCCAACCCTTTCTTGTGTAACCACATATCCATCTCAACATGTGCATCTCTGCTACAGCTAGCTATTGGACATGTCGCCTTTTAGTTGGCCAACATTCAACGCCATATAACATCGTAAGTCGAATCGCCATCCTACAGAACCTGCCTTTTAGCTTTTGTGGCACTCTCATCACAAAAAATGCCAGAAGGTTGACGTCACTTCATCCATCCAACTTTGACTCGATGGCTCACATCTTCATCAATATCACCATCCTTCTGCAGCATTGACCCCAAATATCGAAAGGTGTCCTCCTGATGATGAAGGACACCTTCACATCTTCATCGATATCACCATCCTTCTGCAGCATTGACCCCAAATATCGAAAGGTGTCATTTTGAGGTACCACCTGCGGACCTGCCCATCAAGGCTAACTTCCTCCTCCTCCTCACGCCTAGTAGCACTCAAACCGCACCTCATGTGAATTCAGGTTGGGCGTTGGCCCTCTAACAACTAAGTTTGTTGCAGCATGGATTATGCAAGGAAATAAACTAATTCCAGGGCCCTGTTAAGATGATCATCCCAAACTTACAAAAACAATGCCTATCTGGAGCTTTGACAATTGACATGATGCAGGTATCTTATATAATGAAAAAAAGGTCCGAGCACAAAGTTGCAAGTCTGTAAACCAAATTACCATTTTCCGATTCACAGCCACAGCTTCATAATTATCAATCTCGCGCTTGTAGACATAGTTGCGCAGGGGTTTGATCCGATCCCGTGCTGCGAAAAAACCAAATATTTTGGCAGGTCCAGGCTGGGTATGGTGATAGCCAGCGATTTTAAGGTCAAAGAACTGCACCAAGACCATTGTAGATCGATCACAGCTATTTGAGCAATCATTGATCCCAACATTGTTAACAGTGACTGCATATTCAATAGATGAACCGTGAGATTATACTGAGATAGTTGGGGTAAAAAAAAGATACTACGTAATGAGTGAAAGAGGATAATATGATGTATGGCAGCGCGGCAACAGAAAGTAGTAGATTATTTAACAACACAAACATACTTTCAGACTCGTCATGGAGTTCATACTCTTCACAAAACCAATCCCTCTCTTTATCAACAAGGGGGTCATTGTATGCGCGGAAAAGAGAGAGTGGCGCAGGGCCCCGACGACAAAAATCAGGATTCGCATAGATTGTATAAGTCTGTTCACCACGGTCGTAGCTAACCCTTGGAAAATCGTCAACCGTAAAAGGTCGATTTGTCCCTACATGCAAAATCATCGAAACAGTGAAATCAAGTAAGAACTTTGTCTAGGATGTGGACTTGCAACATCCATACATCCCATACTGACATGGAAGCTAAATGTACAAGGTTAAAAATCCCTAGATGAATCACTACAGAAAGCATTGCAGAGAAACCAACTGCGATTGACTAGGCTACACTCAGTATACCTGAAAAAACATCCACATTCATATTAAGGGTGTGTGCCCAATATCATCAACAAGTTAAGCACGGACCTCATGTTCAAAAACACGATTTTATTTTCGATTATAAGGCAAGTCTATATAACTAATTCAGCAAGATGTTATTATTGTTTCTGAAAAAAAATATCTCTTTGCTGTATGTTAAATCAGGAGCAATGATCTATAACTAAGCAAAGCCAATTGCATGTTGACATACATGCTTAAAAGCGCCAAGAAACACAAATCAAGTGAAATAAAGATTACGGGGTTTTTCTTACATTCCTCTTCCTCGTCACTGCCGCTGTCGCCGAATGTCCATCCGGCGTGGTCCTCGTCCGCCGTGATGGACATGGCTGAATCCCCACAGTCGCTCGGAGAAGTTGAGGGGGAAGGAGGCATCTTCTTGCTGTGGAAGACTGGGCGGAGTAAAGGGTTACTGCCGGTTCACCTCGGCCCCCGTCGATCTCCGCGCCCACACTGCCCACGCCGACGCAATTTCGTCGACGCCGCCTAGGCTTTAGAGGAAGAGAAGAGGGCGGTGGTTGGTAGGTAGCATTTGGGTTTATTTTTAGGGTAGGAGTATGAATTACTGACAGGTAGGTGGGTTACGGAAATGTAAAAAGTGAAAGAAAAAAAAACGAACCGGCAAATAAATTATAATCTGCCGTCAGCGAGATTAGAGCAACTCCGGCCCGCAAAATAACCGCCAAGGTGCGGGTCAGGGCGGGAAAACCCGCCCGATCAGACTCCGCATCTCGCCCCGGCCCGCAAATATTTTTACGAGGCGCGGCAAAACTTCTTCCCCGACCTCTAGTTTCACGGGCTAGGAGGCCGACACGAGCTCAGCCTCTATCCCCGGCGAGATTTGGCGGGAGGGACATTTTCCCGTGCCCTTTCCCGCTCCCCCACCCTCCGCACCATTGCCCCGCCGCCGCACGCTTCGGTGCATCCTCCGCGGCCGTCCCTCGCCGCCATGGACGACTCCCAGCTGCCCCCCGTCACCGTCGAGGTCGCGCACGCCCCTTCCCCTCGGGCAGATCTCGTCGCCGGCCATGTTGGCCCCACCGTCGCTCAAGCTAGCGTTGCGCCTGCCTGCAAACGGCAGGGCAATGTGATCGTGCAGGGCGGGAATCCGGCAGCCTCCCACCGCCAAGGCTCGCGCTCCCGGGGCCAACGCTGTTGCGCGATCTCGCCCGGCGGCGGAGAAGGTGACCAAGGCCGCGGTCGGCAAGAGGAAGAGGAATCCGGCTGCAAACAAGCCGCCTCCTTCATCCTCGAACTCCATCCCGGAAAGAGGTGCTCCGGCGATGCCATCCAATGGTGCTGCTCCCCCCGCAAGCGAGGTGTTTTCGACGAAATGGCCGAAAGGTATGTGTCTTCGGTCATGATGATTTCCTTTCATTTTTGCCATTTTGTGCGATAGCTCGTTACTTGTTATCGTTCAATATAGCGGTGGTTCAAACAATGCAATTGCCGAGTTCGTGAACTTGTTGGATACCATTGCCGTTGACATTGATCAAGCCCCGTTCACCGCATTCGACTACAATGAAACGGAGGGCGGTGTGGATGATCATGGTTGTGAGGATGAATTGGCGGAGATTGAAGCAGAAGCGTTTGAGCAATCGCAATCAAAATCTGGGAAAAACCAAAGATCGAAGAACTACACGATCTTGGAAGATAAAGCTTTGATCCAAGCATGGAGTGCGGTGTCGCTTGATGCATGCACGGGTACTTCTCAAACCGCCAAGAGATATTGGCAAAGGATCAAAGATTAGTACTTCCGCATTATGGCAAAGTATCCCAATAGGACTCCACGCACATTTCAGCCGCTTCAAGGGCGTTGGGAGAACATCAAGCCTATGTGCAGCCGTTGGGCAGCTTGCTTGGAGCAAGTACGCAATGCACCTCCAAGTGGTACCGTGGAATCCGACTATGTGAGTTTGTTTTGCCTTTGTTCAAGTTGTGCATAATCATATTTGCATCATGAAAATTGATTACATCACTTTGTTCACATTGTGTAGGACAAGATTGCCCAACATGGATACAAAGACATGGAAGCTTTGGAAGGCAAATTCTTCAAACTAGAGCATTGTTGGGAGTTGCTCCAAAAGTGCAAGAAGTGGAAGTTGATCGACAAAGAATCCCCATCGAAGAGAGGCTCTCTTACAAACATGGATAAAGATGAGGATGATGATGGACCAAGAAATTTGAACAAGCCCGATGGCGACAAGAAGACTAAGGAGAAGATGAAGAGAGAGCAAGAAGCATCGAGCTTGAGGGAGAAGATTGATGACATGGTGCAATCAAACGAGTTGATGTTGTTGAAGTCATTGCAGATCAAGAAAGAGTTGGCCAAGAAGAAGGCAAAAGAGAAGCAAGAAAAGTGGCAATTGCTCAAGGAAGAGGGGCTCCGCAAAGCTGCCATTAAGGAGAGAAGAGCACGCGCCGCTGAAAACAAATCCATGTCTTTGTTGCTCACCGAAGAGAACGAGATTATGTCAATGAACCGTGATGACATGGACGACCTCACCAAAACATGGCATGATATGGCAAGGAGAGAAATCTTGAAGAGGAGAATGGTCACGTCGGCCGGTCCGTGTTACAGTTCCGGAGATGTTTTCTCTGCTCCATACGGTGGCAATGTCGATGATTTCGGTGCGGGAGTTGAGAAAAGTGCCGGAGGTGAATTCGGTGGTGCCGATGAACTTCAAGATGGACTCGATGGCGCGGAGTGAAGATCGACCAAGATGATGTCGGACATGGCCGTAACTTTTGCAAGGCCCTCTTTTGCGTTTCTCGTACTGAACTTGGCTTTTATTTGCGTGTAAAACTGTGTCATGTTGTTTGAATTTGAACTTATTTGTGGGAACTTATGTCAAATGCGATAATTGAGCGTTTTTTGTTTCCGGGTCGATGCGGCGGTGTCCGAACAGACCCCGCAAAACCGACCCATAAAAAAGTATATTATGTGAATATCCTTTTATACGGGTCCTTTTGGGGGGTCTGCAGCTGCGCCGGTCCGAGCCAGCCCGCAAAGTGGTTTTCCCCGAACTGCAAACGCGTTTTGCGGGCCGGCGGGATGCGGGGTCTGCTGGAGTTGCTCTTATAACCATAGCCGCTCGGCCGCTTTCTTGGCCGAGCTCCACACCAAGATTGCCTCCGTGACCCTCCCAGTTGTGGTAGGAGGAGACTTCAATCTCCTCCGCTCTGCCGCGGAAAAGAGCAACGCGCGGGTCGATCTTGCGGAGATTCGTCGATTCAACGACTGGGTTGCGGACTTAGGCCTTCTGGAGCTGGACAGGGTGGGGGCAAGATTTACCTGGACCAATAGACAGGCGTCCCCGACCCTTAGTGTGCTTGATCGGGTGTTTGTCTCCCACGACTGGGAGCTTCGGTTCCCTTTGGCATCTCTCCAGGCTATTACTCGCATTGGGTCCGACCACGTTGCCCTTCTTTTGTCATCTAGGGATGAGAGACCCGACCTCCCCCCTCCCCCTTAGTTTCGTTTTAAGCATTCTGGCTCCGGCAACCGGGTTTTGTGGCTGTTGTCCAGGCTCATTGGGTCTCGGCTTTAGGCGAGCCCCATAGGCAGATGTCAGTCCTGGACGAATGGCGTCATCTGTCCAAGCGGTCCAGGCAGTTCATGAGAGGATGGGGTGCTAACATTGGGAGGGACCTTCGGGTCCAAAAGGCCTCCCTCCTTGAGGAGATCCGAGCCCTTGACCTTCGCACAGATATTTCAGGGATCTCCGCTGAAGAGTGGGCTCATAGGTATAATCTGGAAGACTCTCTCATGGAGCTCTATTCCAAGGAGGAGGAGTTTTGGCGCGAGCGGGGGTCTTTTAATTGGGTGCTATTTGGCGATGCCAACACGACCTACTTCCAGGCCATCGCTAATGGCCATCGGAGACGCTACTCCATTCCCCTCTTATGGGAGGGAGGTCAGCTCTTTCAGGACCCCCCAGCTATTCGCTCGCTCGTGGATGACTTCTACAAGTCATTATTTGCGGGGCGCCCTAGGGGTGGGAACACCCTTGCTGACCACATCTGGTCGTCCGAACAACGAATCCCCCAAGAGGAGAATGCGGGCCCTTCTCGCCCCTTTTGATGCTTCGGAGGTGGAGACTTTCATCAAAGCCATGAATCCGGCCTCGGCTCCGGGCCCCGATGGCCTACCGGTTCGTTTTTTCCAGGCTTTCTGACCGATGGTCAAGGAGATTAACCTTGACCTGTTCCGTGAGTTCTCTAGGGGAACATTAGACTTGTCCCGGCTTAACTACGGGATCATCTCCCTGATCCCCAAGGTGCCGGGAGCTACTGACATTAGGCAGTTCTGCCCTATCACAGTTCTTTATGTCATATTTCAGATTCTGGCCAAGGGGTGCGCCACTAGGGTGGCCCTGATTGCCCCCGGATTCACCACCCGAACCAGTCGGCCTTCACCAAAGGCAGGTATATTCTGGATGGGATCCTCGTTCTCCACGAGGTCATCCATGAGGTCAAGAGCAAGCATCTTCACGCGGTGCTCTTCAAAATTGACTTTCATAAAGCATATGGCACAGTCCACTAGTCCTTCCTTCGGGAAGTATTGCTCAAGCGTGGGTTCGACTCCCACTGGGTAGCCCGGGTGATGCAGTTAGTGACGAGCGGTCGCACGGCTGTGAACGTTAATGGGGAGATTGGGCCTTACTTCATGACTGGCCAGGGAGTTCGGCAAGGAGATTCGATCTCCCCATTTCTCTTCAACCTTGTGGTTGATGCTCTAGCTTCGATCCTTGATTTGGCCAAACAGGCTGGTCACATTAGGGGGATTTGCCCCCATCTTGTGCCCAACGGAGGTCTGACCCACCTCCAGTATGAAGATGACACCATTATGATGGTGGAAGGGTCAGACGAGGATATTCAGAACCTCAAATTCCTACTCTACTTTCAGGAGATACCGGGCCTTACGATTAACTTCGCCAAGAGTGAGGTGATTGATACGTCTCCGTTGTATCTATAATTTTTGATTGTTCCATGCCAATATTATTCACTTTCATATACTTTTTGGCAACTTTTTATATTATTTTGGGACTAAATAATTGATCCAGTGCCCAGCGCTAGTTCCTGTCTGTTGCATGTTTTATGTTTCGTGGAATATCCATATCAAACGGGGTCCAAACGGGATAAAAATGGACGGAGCTTATTTTTGGAAAATATGGAAAATTTCGGAAGAAAAATCCACGTGAGACAGTGCCCGAGGTGGTCACGAGGTAGGGGGGCGCGCCTGACCCCCTTGGGCGCGCCCCCTACCCTCGTGAGCCCACCATAAGGCAGTTGATGCTATTCTTTTGCCGCAAGAAAGCTAATATTCAGAAAAAATCACGGCGAAGGTTTCAGGCCAATCGGAGTTACGGATC